ACATGGAGGAATGTAGACGAGATCTTGAGAAATATCACAAAACAAAAACTTCAAGAAGACACATCATCTAAAAATAAACAATGGATCACACAAGAGATAAAAGAACTGATGACTGAAAGAAGGGCACACAAGAATAAAAACGAACAACAGTACAAAAAAATTAATAAAATAATCAAACAAAAAATCAAAGAAGCTAAGGAACTGTGGCTATCAGAAAAGTGTGAAGAAATAGAAAGGTTAGATAAACAACATGACAGTTTTAACAGATATTTACTACGGCAATTTCTTTTAATGTTTTATTGGAAGTCGTCTTATAATTTTTATACGTCGCAAAAGGATATCTACGTCGTTTCGTTGTGTTTTGCTATTTCAGCGTTTGTTTATTTTCAAGTTTATATGAACGAATTTTTAAGTTCGTCATTCATACTTGGGTCGTCGTAGTGTTAGGTATGGATCTTAATTCATGCTTGGGTCCCCGAGCAGTTCGTTAGGCTCAGGTATGGATCCGAATTCGTCGTCGAATTTGTGGTTTTCTGTTTTTGGCTCCTTTTGTGGAAATAAGTAGCAGTAGTGGTGGATTTTTATCTATTATGAAGTGACCGGCATTAATTTGCCAAAATTGGTGGAGTTTTCGCTCGATGTAAATGTCATTTTAGAAAGAGTGACCACTGTTTCGTTTTTTTTTGAAGATTTTAAGATGTTTGAAAAGTCTAGTTCCTGTTGAAAAGTTGAACAAGTTTAGTTCCTGTTTTTTTGAGAGTTCCCGTTTTTCCAAGTGTACTAGTTCCAGCCCCCAATGGATAAAGCTCTTCGCTGATGATGTCCGGATAGATACTCCAGAGATGTAACAAGTTTTTTTTTTCGTTAAGTGGAAATATGTGAATCCAGGTAACTGTTTATTGTTTGTTTAATTTCAAAGTAAAGACAGATATTTTTTTAGAACAATAATTGCTTTCGTTAAAATTTAGAAATTGTAACATTTAAAAATTGTAATGCGGTAACATTTGTAAGTTTTATGTAGTATCTCCAACTCCTGGAGTTTGTAAGCGGATGACACACGTAAGTTTTTTGTATTCTTGTATTTCTTCATGTTGTAACTGTTTGTGGTGACACAAAAATAAATGTTAAATTTTGTTTTCTTAACATTTTATTTATTTTTTTTGAACTAACCCTTTTTTGATTTTTATTTGAAAAAGATATGTTTTTGATGTTTTATAATTATTTCCCTAGTTACAACTAGTGGTTGTAATAGGTATAATTAGGCACCTCAAGTGGCGCCCTATATTAAATTCCTTGAGGTGTTTCCTGTTTATTTTTATTTTGTTTATCCCAAGAGATTAATGACCCCTTTATTTCATTTTTTGTAGTTGCCCCAATCCAACCCCTTATCTTTTACTTATCCACGACCCCAGCTCTCCTACCAAACCCTGAGTGCCGTTCGCACAAGTAGCGATTATTTTGCTTGCCTTATCTCCACCCCAATAGTTTCTTCCCTCAATTTTCTACCCCTGTAAAAATGAACCTTTGGTAGGCAAAATATTTCCGTTACATGCGAAAGGAAAACTTTTAGGCAGGATGCAAAGATATCAGTACTTAGATTGCGAACTAAATGAATAATTAGAACAAACAATTTATCGTAATTGTTATTGTGAAACAATTACAATAGTAAAAACTGAAGTTTTCCATTCAGCAATACAGGATAGTTTGAACCATGTTCTTCCAACCATTAATTAATAGAGTACCGGCATGTAAGTAATGTTTTATTTATTTACTAATTTATTACAATTTAATAGACTATTTTTATACCAATTTGTGGGTCTTACTTTGTCTGCTTAAAGTTTATTCATTTGAAAAACACAGACATGTAATATTGCATAATTACTGTAATTATATATTATCTTTGTTTATCTTTATAAGACAACACCCTAATATGGGTTTTATTATTTCAGCGTTTAATTAACTTTGTATCGAGACCTGAAGATGCTTTGCATATTGTAGAAAGCGAAAACTATATATATTCATGTGTTTGAACAGTTATATAAATTTTTGAAATATGCATAAAACTATGAGATATCGACTTTTCACAAGTTCGAACAACACCATATAAAATGTATACCCAATGTTTAACATCGCATGCAGTTTCATTGTCCGTAACAAGCTAAATTTGCAGAGAAAACAATAAAAACAAATTTCAATCAAGCAATCCTCACAATTTGTCCGCGTGTGCGCCACGTGGCCGAGCACACCCTCACGTGAAGTCGTGGCTCTTCCGCGTGTGAACATACGCTCGCAAATAGAAATGCGTAACGAGCGATGTGCATTTGTTTACATTGGTTTGTTTTCAGTTTAGAATCGTTCCAAAAGTCGACACCTCGTTTAATGATGTACCATGCCGATCAAAAAGGTGTGGTACGATGTGTTTGCGATCGTGATGTGGAAGTTTTATCGTGAGATAAGTAAATATTGGTCTTAGGGTTGTTTTTATAAAGGTCAGTTAGTTTCCTTTGAAAGATTGCGAAAGAAGTTAATTGAAATTCGTTAATTTCTATCGTGAATCTACAATTTTATAGCACCATCCCATCGTTATTAAATGTTGGTGATAATCTCAGTAATATTGTGCATTTCGAAATGTGTCCAAACTAGTTCAACTTCCTATATTTGCAACAACGAATGTTTGTATCTTTCCAGTTTTCTATTGACTTATTTCTCTTCAGTAATTAATTTCAAAAGTTTTGCTTTGTATGGAACCTATTCAGGAAACTTTATTGAAAGAAGCACGCGAGTTTTCTCTAAATCTCTAAATAAAACCAAACACAACAAATATCAGAGGCATTTTTTAATTAGGGCAAGTATGAAAAATTTAAAAAAACTCCAAAAGCTGTCATCGCACCCAAATATTTGTGGGTAAGACGGTATACCAGAATAAAAAGATAATCTACACTCTACATATATCGCAAATGTATGTTTTTTTTTAATCAAGAGGTTGAAAATAGCTCATTACAGAAGATATAAGCTGCATTTTCATCGTCAGCGTCATCATAAAATAACTCTGAACTATCACTATTTGCTTTTTCTTCAATGAACACTTTTGGCTTCATTTTTTGGGTAGATTTTCTTAGTTCTTTTGCTTCATTTTCAGCAGTTATCTGTTTGACTACTTCTATCTCAAGTGTGTAGTTAAGAACTTCATTTTTTCCTTCATTTCTGTTAGTCTTGCGGTTATTCGACTGACAGCTCAAAGAGGTGATATTTCGGCTGCTGTTATATAACTTGGTGGACCTGGCATATCCACACTTATTGAGTTAGGAATTCCTTTGTTATGCAAAGGATTATCACTTGATTAATTCTCGATTCTAAGATTAGGTTTGGCATCATTTGGATGGTCTGAAGCCTTGGGTATATCGATAGTCTCTGCTGGGGCAAATAAATAATCGGAAAGATCTCTACATTTAGGGGACATAGTCATGTTGAAATTTAACCGCTTTAGCTTCTTTAGTGTTGCCCAAATGCAAGAACAAGATGAGACTTAGACAGTCTTGGTTGTACACCTGGTCTTAGTCTTGGTCTTGGTATTGCACTCCCGGTCTTAGTCTTGCAAGTCTTGCAGTTACCCATTAGTCAATTGCTACTTATTAAACCTTACTAGGGGGGTTTGAAGCCACGATATAAGCAATCCGTGCATATTTATTTATTGCTTGGTTATAATAAGTATTTAAGGATCCATAAAAGCTCAAATCAATTGGTTGTACCCTATGGGGACAATGTGGCGGAAAGCAAAATAATATAACACCATTAAATTTCGCATATTTCATCACTCCAAGGCCTTTATGACTACTGTTTCTATCTAAAAAATAATAAAACTTTTTTTCAGTTGGCATTAAAATTTTTTTGTTTCTTTCCATATAGCGTCATATTTTTTGCCAAAACTCAAAACTCAAATTTTATGCTATAGGATTTCTAGTAATCGAAACTTTATATTGGCCAATCAATAAAAGAGATAGATTGTATTGATGTTATGAGAATAATAAAAAAATCGCGTCACGTTTATTTATTTAACACCTTTATAAAATCCAAGTATACTTGCGGTAAAATACAAATATGGATACGAAAGATTATCATTATCATAACCTAAAGAAGAAATAAACGAACAGTAACGGGAGAAAAATTCAAAATCAGGTTCTTCAATAGTATCCCAAAATTGTTCCTTTAAACTAATAAATACACCTAATCATATTTCTTCAACCCTTTAATTTAATTTGATCAAATATAGATTTACTCATTTGATTCAAATATAGATTTAGATCAGTCTATGTGTGAATTGTTAATTTTATTATTATCTAAAAATCCAGAAAAATGAAATACTTTGACTGTTTTGTGTCAATACTCACAATAATTTATAATCAAATCGAGAAAAATTGTAAATTGTTTACAGAGTCCCTCTATACCCTTGAGAAACAAACATATTCTTTACCTCAGTGATGAGTTCTACAAAAAACTTAAGCTTCTTTATTAATTTTGCTATTGATTCAACAGATGGCGCAAGTAGCTGGAATATCGGAAATGTCTATAAACAAGAGATACGTGAGAAAAACAATCCTGTAATAGAAATAAAAACCTATTTTTTCTAGAACACGTACAAAAAGTTTTGAAATTAATCAATTAACAACACAGCGCAATACACCCAATTAATTCTAAACGTACCTACAATTTTTAAAACAAATGTTTTTTTTTATTTAAACCATTTTCAAAAGAAACAGTTACAGGTTTGTTAGGACAGAACATATTTGAAACAACTAGAAATAAGAAAATACCAACCATCTCTACTTATATAATTTAATCTATGTTACAACTTATAGTACATTAATAATTTATCTTGATCTATATACCCTTATGATGGGATAATTATCCACTACCACAATACGGTCCCTTTCAATTTAATACCAAAGAATATAGTCGCTTATAAGCGTCTATATTCTTTGTTAATACGTAAGAAAGACACAACTATATCAACATGTCAAAGTCAAAAGAACATACGACAAAAACGACATAAACTAACCAATAAAATTGTGACAAGTAGTATTTAAATAATTAATAATTAAAAGCTTTATCGGCAATAACTAGAAGAGAAGAAGAAATAGTTCTTATGCTAGGTTATAAAACAATTATAACACTAGTATAAATGATACAATATTGAAGAATAATAAGAGTTTAAGATGAATTCAACGGTATTTGATTTATTTAGAACAGCGGCTTTGCTGGTTCTTACACCGAAATGCTTTGATAATTATTTTTTAGAATTCAACTATTTGGACGGTAAGATCAACTGCATATTTAACTAGTATTTAAGGTCACCTATTTTTAATTCATCTAGTAATCTTATTTATTACTACCGGTTCACGTAACCCTTTATATTTGTATTGTTAAGCATATAAACACCAGCCAAATAGATTGCTTCTGTTGTTATGATTACTGTCTTGTTGTATCTAATTGTTCCTGACTCTTGAATTTCAGTAACATTCCTAGTGAGGTGCCCATGTTTGCTTTTGTATTTTTAGCCATTATATTATGGTCTTCATCTTCCTTGTGTTCTAACTAAATACTTTTCTTTGATTTGTTTGATGTATAATATCATCTGTTTCCTGTTGATGTTTTTGGTGTTTCTGTAATAGTTTTTTGCTTTCATTGCTTCAAAAGTGTATAAATAGTTGTTTCTCCAACTCAGGTCGTATTTGAACACTTATAAACTACATTCCGAATAATACTAGTGCTGTGTTTTCAATATATAACCTTATAGTTATAGCAATTTTGAATGAATTGTTTTAATAAATGTTTTTTTTTTTATTTCAGGGCCATGTTTTTTTGCATCATTGAGTAAAGGCCTAGGATTTGGAATCATTTTGGGATCACTAACAGTTAAAGTTCCTCAAATCCTCAAAATCCTCAACAACAAGAGTGGAGAAGGCATCAATATATTAAGTGTGACCCTCGATTTGAGTGCCATAACAATTTACATGGCATACAGTTTTGTGAAAGGATTTCCTTTCAGTGCTTGGGGAGATGCAAGCTTTTTAGCAATACAAACTGTTTTAATTGGATACTTGGTATTATATTATCAAGGAGCTATAACCAAAGCAATTATGTATCTATTAGTATATGGAGCCATATGCTATGTTATGATGTTCGGAATGACACCTCTAGAATTTTTGTGGTCTTTGCAAACCTTCAACATATTTTTAGTTGTAGTTGGAAAACTGATGCAAGCATACACTAACTTAAAAAATGGACACACAGGTCAGCTATCAGCAGCCACATTGATTATGCTGCTAGCAGGATCTTTAGCCAGAATCTTCACTTCCATGCAAGAAACGGGAGATAGTGTAGTAATTTTAACTTATATAGCTAGTAGTTTATCTAATGCAGTTCTAGTTGTACAATTATTATATTACTGGAATGTCGATCCTAAGAAGAAGGTAGAATAAATTATTCCATTTAGTAAATTAAAAAAATTGTGAACTTTATTCTCTTAAAGAGAAAGTTTTACTACATAAGACTTGTAGATGTACTGAGATAAATAAGTTAAAAATAGTGTAGCAAGTGGTTCTTTTTTAAAATTTGTATCCTTTTCAAGATGTTTCTATTTTAAATATTTATATGTTATTGTGTGCTGGCTGGTTCAATTATATTATAAAATTTATTTTATTTTGTTGTTTTTTTTTTCATCGATTCATAAGGATCATGGCGTTTCTCTCTATCAAAAACATTAAAGAAATAAGCTGAATAAGAATGTGTTGTCATAGCCACTGTTTTTATGGTTTGGAAAGTTGGATGCTAAATAAAAACTCAAAGACATCAAAAGATGTCCTAAGAATATTATATATGTAGAACATTACTGATATTCAAAGGTTACTCAAGATAAATGAAATCCGTGCTGAGGCTTCAACTTGTATCAATCAAGAAATGAAGAAATTAACATCAGAAATTAAAAACACAGAATGTGAACATTATGTGGAGCAAAATCAAAGATTCTGTTATAAAAACAAAAGAAACTACAAAGAAAAGAAACCGAAAACCTTGATGACTCAAGAAATACTGGAAATCATGGAACAAAGAAGAAAATATAGAAACAAAAACCCAAATAAGTACAGAGAAAAACATAAATTAATAAGGAACAAATAAAAGAGGCTAAGGAAAAGTGGATGATGGAAACATGCATCGAAGTGGAAGAATTGCAGAAAAAGCATGATCATTATAATTTACATAAAAAAGTAAAAGAATTATCTGGAAAATCACGAACAAATACACCTAACCGATTAATTGACAAAAACAATAAACTATTAATAACCCAATTGAAATAAAACAAGTATGGACTAATATATTGAAGATCTTTTCATGGACACAAGAACGGAACCAACACAAATTGATAACGAGGAAGCTCCAATAATATTAAAATCTGAAGTCCAACATGCTATAAACAACTCAAAATCTGGCAGAGCCCCTGGGCCAGATGAAGTTCATATCGAGCTGATTAAACTTATAGATGAAGACAATTTAAGTGCAATAACTATACTCTTTAACAACATATACAAATCTGGTGAGATACCTACAGAATGGCTGCTATCGACCTTTGTTCCGCTACCAAAAACCAAGAACCCCAAACACTGTAATGACTATAGATTAATCAGCTTAATGTCACACTTATTAAAAACATTTTTAAAGATTATACATGCAAGAATATTCAGAAAGTGCAGTGAATATGCAGGGCTAGACTGTGGACAGCGATGCAGGAACTTGGCTTTTCAAAAAAACTAGTCAGGTTGATACGGATGTCTATGGAACGGTTACGATCTAAGGTGAGAGTTGGACAACAATACTCGGAGACATTTGAAATAAACAATGGACTAAAACAGGGAGATGCACTTTCACCACAACTCTTCAACTTAGCTCTGGAGCACATAATCAGAAGTGCAAGAATCGAAAATCCGAATATTATATGTGTTGTTAGCTTAGATTAAGATATAGGCGCCGGAGTTAGGCAACACAGATGACAGGGATGTCATGTGAACGTAGCCGAAGCTCGGGCAAGCATGTATGTTTGAGGGTTGAGAATAAACTGATGTTGTGAAGTAACGATTATTATTTGTAACCCCTCTTTGATAACACGACATGGTGGCAGCTGGTGCTTTGTTTTGTTAACATTAAACAAGCAAAGAGTGGTCGAACGTGACAACAGTGCAAATCTTATGCATAACCTATAAATCAGAGGGGACCTAAAATCCTTAAAATGGATGCACCTATCCAAATAAATAAAGAAGTGTTTGCGAACATTTCGGCTCCAAGCGAATTTGATTTTACACAGCCCCAGACATGGCCCCAATGGAAGAAAAGAGTAGAGAGATATATGTCTGTAAGTGGATTTGGACAAAAATCTGACAAGGATAAATTAGACCTACTGTTGTATTTAATGGGAAATGAAGCAGAAGATATTTTACTTCAAAATCAACCAGTGGAGAATGCATCCTTTCAAGATGTAATGCAGATTTTCGACAATCATTTTATTCCCCGAAGAAATACAATCTTTGAGAGATTTCAATTTAATTCAAGGGTACAAAGGCCAGGAGAACCTGTGGGAAACTTTATTTCAAGTCTACATACTCTTGCAGAGCACTGTAGCTATGGAGCTCTTAAAGATGAGTTAATTCGTGACAGGATAGTTATCGGAATAGCTGATAAAAAGGTGAGCGAAAGAATGCAACTAAATGATGGTTTGACACTAGAGAAGGCAATACAAATAGCACGCCAAGCTGAACTTCAAGATAGTCAAAATAGAATTATGAGACAGGAGCAGTCAGTTAGTGCAGTTAAACAGGACTACAGGGAGCGTAGTGATAAAAGACATCAAGGTTACAGATGTGGATACTGTGGCATACCTACATGTAAAAATAGGGAGAAATGTCCAGCCAAGTTCTCTGAATGCAGATCTTGTTCACGTAGAGGTCATTGGAGTGTGATGTGCAGGAAGAAAGCTGTCAGAGCTGTTAAGTGTTCAAGGTCCACCAGTAGCAGTAGTACAGATGACGAAGGAAGGGATTCAGTAAATCAAGTGGTACATACAGATTCCTTTATTGGCCAAGTGTACCTAGACAAGAAGGATCGTTGGTATGTAGACATCTTATTGGATGACAAATTTAAGGTACCTTTTTTTGTGGATACAGGAGCAGATGTTAACTGCTTTCCCTATGAAAAATTACCTCCAGAATATGTGGGTAAAATTGTGGCATGTGATGCAATTGGTGCAGCGGACGATCATAAATTGGACACAGTGGGTAAGCTACATATAAAATTTACTTATGACGGTTTTACAAATGATGAAACAATATATTGTATTAGGAAGTTGAGACAACCTATATTAAGCAGAGAATCAATCATTAAGTTTAATGTTCTAAATTTTTCTAATTGTAAGCTTAAACAGGTAAATCAAATCAGTTGCAGTGTTGTTCATTGTAATCAATCTGAGAGTACTAATATGTTTTCAAAATTTAATTTAGAGTCTGTTGCTAAAACATTTCCTGGTATTTTTAGTGATATAGGTGAATTTAAAATGGAAATGTCAATTAGAATTAAGCCAGATGCTAAACCTTATGTACAGAGCGTTCCCAGAACTGTTCCTTTACCTCTGTTACCAAAATTAAGAATTGAAATTGATAGATTGCTAAAATTAGGGATAATTGAACCCATTGAAGATCCTACTTCTTGGGTCAGCCCAATTGTTTGTGTGGACAAGGGAGATTGTGTACGGCTTTGTGGTGACTATACTAAACTTAATGAAAACGTGTTACGGTCACATTTTCCTCTCGGGAAAATATCTCATACACTAGCACAGTTGAAAGGGTCTAAATTCTTCTCAAAATTGGATACCACAAGTGGGTTTTACCAAATAAAATTGAATAAGGAAAGTCAGTTGTTAACAACTTTTATAACACCTTTTGGCAGATTTTTCTTTAAAAGGCTTCCATTTGGTATATCTTGTGCCCCAGAGTATTTTACTATGAGATTTTCAAAAATCTTAACTGGCATTGAAGGCTGTGTTGTCCATATAGATGACATTCTTATTCATGCAAGGACAATAGAGGAACATGACAATATTTTGAACACAGTCCTAACAAAACTTCATAAGGAAGGTATTACACTAAATAAAAACAAATGCTCTATAGCAACAAAAACAGCTAAATACTTGGGTCATATGGTCTCTGAGCAAGGGATATTAATTGATCCAGATAGGGTTAAAGCTATCCGTGATTTTCCTGAACCAAAAAATAAGACTGAGCTGTCAAGATGGCTGGGTATGATTAATTTTGCTGCAAAATACATTCATAATAAATCTGAGATTCTTGAACCATTAACACACTTACTAAAAAAAAATATTAACTTTTTGTGGGGTCCAGCACAAGATAAAGCTTTCAGCACTTTAAAACAAAAGTTAGAGAGCCCTCCAAATCTAGCGTTTTTTGATGCTAATAAAACCATAATTGTTAGTGCAGACTCAAGTTGTTTTGGTATAGGTGCATGTCTATTTCAAGAAAATGTAGATCATACTCGGGAAATAGTGGCTTTTACATCTAGGCTTCTGAACTCAGCTGAAACACGATACGCTCAGATTGAGAAAGAAGCTCTTGCACTTACATGGGCAGCAGAATATTTTTATGATTTTATTTCAGGAGTTCCTAACCTAATTTTTGAAACAGACCATAAACCTTTACTACAAATTCTGCAAACTAAAAATTTAGATGAGTTAACGCCACGTTTGCAAAGATTTCGAATGCGTTTAATGCGATACAAGTATACTGTAATCTACACGCCGGGAAAAAATTTAATTGTAGCAGATACTTTAAGTCGGGCCCCTTTACAAACAGATACGTTAGCTAATAAAGAACTAACTGCTGAAACTGCAGCATATGTGCAGTCAATTATTCATAATTTACCAATTAAAGATTATTTTTTGAATTTAATAAAAACAGAACAAGAAAATGAATATATTTGTAAAAAACTAAAAGAATATTCTTTGTCTTCTTGGCCTGAAAGATCTAAATTGCCATTTGAATTGTTGCCATACTATCAATATAGATATGAAATTTCCTATTCGGAACAATTACTTTTAAAAGGGTCTCGCATAATCATTCCTAAGAGTCTTCAACTCAAGGTGTTGGAATTTATTCATACAGGCCATATGGGAATTGTAAAATGTCGAGATCGTGCCAAACAGAGCGTTTGGTGGCTGGGTTTGTCATCCCAGATTAATAACCTTGTCACACATTGTCCCCAATGTGTTGAACACAGAGTAAATCATAGAGAAACATTTCATAAAGACAATACTGTACAAAGGCCGTGGCAAAAACTGGGGGTTGATTTGTTTAAATGTTATGATAAGTGGTATTTGATTGCCACTGACTACTTTTCACATTGGTTTGAAATTTTTACTTTAACCAATATGACAGAAGATGCCATTATTCCTAAGCTTAAAGATATTTTCTCTCGTTATGGTATCCCAGAGGAAGTTAGATCCGACTGTGGTACTCAATTTTCATCAAAATTTATAAAGTTTTCAAAAGAATATAATTTTGTTCATACGACGAGCAGTCCGCACTGGCCTCAGAGCAACGGTGGAGTGGAACGCACTGTACAAATTGCAAAAAGATTAATTC